GGCTATGAGTTGTACTCGACTCAGTGGCACCCAGCAACAACAAACAGTCCACCAAAGCTCCAGATGATGATAGATAGATAGATATATAGATAGATAGATAGATATAGATAGATAGATAGATAGATATCCTGTGCCACTCTGCCTCTGACACACCCATCCCGATTACCCCAGTCACTGAATCAATCCACCTCATAGAGGGTCTTCCCCTTCTGCGCCATCCCTCCAGCCTCCCAAGCTGATGACCCTCCCCAAGGACCTCTCCCTCCTTACAACATGTCCAAAGTATGTCAGAGGAAGCTTCACAATCCTTGCCTCCAAGGAGCAGCCTGGTTTAACCCTCTGCAGGATGAATCTCTTTGTTTTCTTGGCAGTCCATGGTACACTCAAGACACTTCTCCAGCACCACAGCTCAAAGACATCGATTCTCCTTCTATCCTCCCTAGTCATTGTCCAACTTTCTGATGAATAACAAGTGATTGCAAAGACCATAGCCTGTATCAGACACACCTTAGTCTCCAGAGTGGCACCATTGCTCTTCAATACCCTGGAGAGGTCCCTAACAGCAGACTTTCCCATCACAATACATTTTTTTTTATTTCCTGGCTACTGGTACCAAGAGTGTTGACCGTTGAGCCAAGCAGACTAAAGTTGTTAACAATCTCAATCTCTTCACCATCCATCCTGATGCTGCCAGTTGGTCCAGTGGTGAGAATCTTTGTCTTCTTGACATTGAGCTTCAATCCATAATGAAGGCTGCAGTTCTTGACCTTCTACAGCAAGCATTTCAGGTCCTCCTCAGTTTCAGCAAGCAGGGTGTGTCATCTGCATAACGCAGATTGTTAATATATCTTCCACCAACCCTGATGCCACAATTCTCCTCATAGAGCCCAGCCTCTCTGATAATCTGTTCTGCATACAGGTTGAAAAGGTATGGAGATAGGACACATCCCTGGCGTATGCCTTTCCCAATTTTGAACCATGCAGTGTTTCCTTGCTCTGTTCTGACAACTGCCTCTTGGTCCAAGTATAGGTTTCTCATTAGAACGATCAAGTGTTCTGGGAGACTGTTTGCTATGGTCCACATAGTCAAACGCCTTTGCATAATCAATAAAACACAGATAGACATTCTTCTGGTATTCCCTGCCTTCAGCTAAGATCCATCTAACATCAGCTACAATATCCCTAGTACCACGACCCCTTCTAAACCCAGCCTGGACTTCTGGCAGTTCTCCGCTGATGGTGCTATTCCAGTCGTTTTTGGATAATCTTCAGTAGAATCTTGCTTGTATGTGAAATCAATGATATCGTCCTAGTTTCCACACTCTGTTGGGTCACCCTTCTTCGGAATGGGAACAAATATAGGTCTCTTCCAGTCAGTTGGCTGACTGAAAATCTCCTGGAGGGTCAGCTATGAGTCCTTTCTGACTGGACAGTACACAAAACAGTATACATTTGTGTGTGCGCACGTGCACACACACTGTGTTACAGTTAAAATTTCGTTCAAGAAGTACTTAAACACTTTTTTGTGGATAATCATTAATTCAATTCGTGGAAAGTCCACAGTGATTTTATAGTACTCCTTTTTTGCTTTCTGAATGTGTGTTCTTGGCAATTATTTTATAAGCAAAGATTTCATTTCTTATTCTAATGGCAAGAGAACTACTTCTTTCAATGAAAGCTGTTAAAATGTATTATTGATTACTGGCATCTCCAAAAGATTTTAGCATGTAATTTACTGAGGAGGTAGATTTTGATATTTATCATGTGTCAGTAAAGGTATTTCAGTATCTGTCTTGACAAGATGATTAGATAAAATTGCACACCAGGAAAATGGAACTGTAGGCACAAAAGAGTAAGTGGGTGAGTAATGGGGAAAGTAATGTTGATTGATAGAAACTATATTCAGAATCTTGTCAAACATGGATGAACTAAAACTGTTATGGTTTAGTCATTGTCCATTTTGTACATGAATCTGTGTTGACTATATTTTACCAGAATATTAGCAATGAGTAATTCCAAAATGATATTTTTATTTCTTTTTAAAAATTTATTTGGTTTTTTAAAATTAATATATAAGACAAATAAACATCATTTCAATCATTTCTGCACTTATAAGTCAGTTAGATTGATTACATTATTTGGAATGTGCAACCATTTGTACCCTTTCCCCACCCCCAACTTTTCCCTCTCCATTAAAATGAATTTACTAAGTTCAGGAGAACTGTTATAGATAATTGCTGGAAGGAGGGAGAATTTATACTAGTGTTAAAATATTTTTTTGTAGTGGCTATTAATGTGATTGTTTATTATATAATTAAGTGCTAGATTTTGGTGTAAAAATTCACATTCTGAATGCACAAAGATCTTGATATTTGTTCTTAAGTTCTGTGTACAGTAGTTTTCTCAACCAGTTGTTGTATATGTTACATAGCATGTAAATACTGATTTAAATATTAAATAAGACCTCCTCTATTGCCCAGTTTCTTATATATGCAATTCTTGTTCAATACTTGTTATCTTAATAGAATATTAAAGTTTCTATTTTTATTCTGTTGTTTATAGACTTTATTTAGCTAATTTTTTAAAAATTATTTTTTGTATGTGTACCATCAATTCAGATCTGACTGATACAGGAGGAGATTGCCCCTCCTTCTCTGGCAGAGCATCTGGTGGATTTGAACCATGCACCTCTGGGATTGCAGTTCAGCTTCTTGCCACTAGGCCACCAGAGCTCCCCTATTTAGCTAATTTTGAAGAAACACATTTTTTATCACTTTCATATACCTCTGAGAGCTTTCAGAAATACTGCATACTTTGAATAGTGATGAAACCAATATTTTCTGACCATCCAGCTATTGATACTTAAGTTTTTTGCATGCCTCTACTTTCTTATTGTAATCCTTTTCTTCATCTTTCTGCTTTGTTCCATTTGACAGTGCTTTTTTCATTAAGCCTTTTATAATCACTAATTTCTCCTCTGAAGTCACAGCTTTTAAAGATCTTCGTTTCGATTGGAATATTACTGTGTGCCTTTCACAAACAAATATAATTTTACATTGTTATTTATCTTCAAGTGAACCTCCCCTATTTTTACCCTTTCTGGATGAGAACCCTTTATTGTAACTTTATAAACTCCTCTCTGCTGAGCAGAATGATTTGTGTATGATGGGTATTAACATTTTTGTTCATCCACTCAGCTATCTGAAATTTAGAAGACAGATATTGGAAACTTTCCTTAGTACTTGGCAATGAGTAGTGCTTAGTACTATGAAACTAAAGATTAAAAAAAAAATATGTATATATGTCATGCTCTGTGCCATCAAGTAAAATATGGAGTTGTGAGAGACAAAGAGGAAAGTTGTTAAAGGATGAGTATCATCATAGATCATCAAACAGTCTTCTAGGTTGTATAGCCCTGGTGTGGCCACTTGCCGTACAGAGGTAACTTGTGGTTGCTGTGAAGCTGAACTCAGTGACACTCATGTGTCAAATGCGATAATTGTGACCCATGGCAGACAGTGTTTGGTGGAGCTCCCTAATTAAAACAAGCTTGGAAGCAGGAGTGGCATCCACTTCCATAATAGCTTGCCTCCAGGAACCCTATGAACCTGGAGAAAGGATGAAAGTAACACGAGTGTTGAGGACTTTCGTTCATAGGATTGCTATGAGTAGCCTATGACTCGACGACACTTAACAACACCACCGTCATAGAAGGATATTCAGGGTATGCAGGTGGCCAGTAGAGGGAATCAGGGATATTATTATAGATAAAAACATTTTTGCAAATGTTTGGATTGTATTTTAATAGACCAGTAAGCCTTCTGCTAAAGTGAAAGCTTTTTTTAAAATTACTGGATTCTTTGAGTTCACAAGTTACCCCCATTTATAAAAATCTTAACATATTCTTATAAAATTTCTTGGCAGTTTGTATTATCTTTATTTACATATATAAAAAGTATAGGTCTATTGGCAATTTTTTAAAGTTATAATTTCAATAAACCAAGTATTCAACAAACCATCGTATTTCAGAAAAGTTTATTTAAAACTAAATGAAATATAAGTGCCAGAAATCTTGTTTTCCTCAGATACTTTTGCTACTGCTGTTGATAGCATGAAACAGTTTTGTTAGTGCTAGTTTCTTCTTGAAAGATTCTTAAAACTAGAGAATGCTAAACTCACTTGCTCAAGGCTATGGGATTACATTTAACTAGAGACCCTATTGTTTTGTTAAGGAAAATACACAAATCAAAAACCTTATTCCTTTAAACAAAACAGGCAAAAACACCTTTTTAAAAAATAATTTAAATAAATACTTTAGTTAAATTACAAAGACATCTAACTCAGAATGAATATGTGAAAGTACAGTTTTTCTATTCAGACAGCATCCTACAGATACTGCAAGTAAAAATGTGGTTTTTCATTCTTTGCTATTTTAATTTTACAATGTAAAATTTAGCCCCTTTGAATACCAATTCAAGACTCTTGGTTGTGGAACCTATGTTTAAAAGTTTGTTATATCTTTGTCTTGCCATCTTCTAAATCCATGGAATATAAAGTTTGCCTACATTTTTGTGAAGAAGTGTAGATTTTTATGTTTTTTTTTGATGTGAGATGAATTAAATGATGTGCAGTGTTTGTAGAACAGATCTGGGTTCAGATCCTTTGCTTACTTCCCATCCATATACCTAGCTCAGACATACACCTAGATGGACACCTTGTCCAGCTAGTTCTTTTTATGTGTTGCATACTGTCTACTCACTAGTGATGCCGACTCTTCATGCTATAGACCTACATTACGTAATGTGTATATAACAATAATAAGCACTTAACATGATAGTATTTGTATATAAGCTCTCTGCTTCTGATGATTTTTTTTTATCCTCAATTAGGAAGGAAGACTAGACTTAATTTCTAAGAAGCACCTTTCCCCCCCCTCAATTTAAAAATGACTAAAACCTCTGTGTCTTATAAAGAAGTTAACAGTTTCTTTGTCTTTTTAGTTTGTCTACAGTAGAAATTGAAAGCCGAGCCCAAGCTCTTCATCTTTTTGAGACATTGAAGACTGACCCTGAAGCCTTTCACAGGCACATGGTCAAATACATTTACCCCACTATCGGTGGTTTAGATCATGAGAGACTTCTCTATTACTTCACTCTTCTGGAGAGCTGTGGCTGTACAGACTTTGAGAAGTCTGCCATTAAACCAGACACCCACATTCGTTTACTGAAGAAACTAAAGGTCGTCGCTGCAGGTAAGAGGATCATTTCTTTGCTTGAACTACTTTTTAAAAATTCATTCTAAGCATTAATCTGTACATAAATTTGCTCACACCTTTAAGTGGCATAAATGGGAAACCACAGAAATATTATCATTAATAGGTTTCAGTTATTATCTTTTCCACCCACTTTACTTACAGTGAAGGGAATCTAGTACCGGATAAACGACACAATTGTATATCACAGAAATTTTAAAAATTATGGTCTGCAATGACTTATGGTATACGTTGTATAAAAAGTGACTAATTACTGCTCCAAAGATCCCCTCCCCTTGGTGCTGTTAAGTTGTCATCTAGTTCCAGCTTATCACAACCCCATGCACAGCAGAATGAATCTGAAGTGCTGCCTAGACCTCTGCCAGCCTCACAGTTGTTGCTGTGATTGAGCTCATGATTGCAACCACCGTGTCAATCCATCTCATTGACAGGCTTCTTTTTTGCTTACTCTCAAGCTTGATGTTCTCCATAAACATGGAGTACTTCTTGTATTTCCCCTTACTTCCATTGAAACATCAGTCTGTAAGGAGTTGAACGGCTAACCCAGAGCCCACCTCTCTCTGACTGTTTGTGTCTACCAGTGGCATGTGAGAGAGATGGACACTCTCCTCCCATGTGATTCACAGCCTTGGAAACCCAGTGGAAAGTTTGCTGTGTTGATTCTGACTCAACAGCAGTAACATATTTTGGGTTCCAGCAAATCCGTTCCAGCTTGTAATGACCTTTTAAGTATTCAAGTAAAACTGTGCTCCATAGCCATTCCATGACTCACATTAAAAAGAGATCACCAGACATTTCCTCGGAGTTGTGTGAGGGAGCTCTGGTGGTAGAAGTACATGGGACACATTCTTCTCACTATGGTCCTCGTGGCAGCATTCTGACTATGCTTCTTCCAAAATAGACGTATTCATTCTTCTGTTATTCTGTGATATTTTTAATGGTTTTCACCAGCGTTATAGTGGAAAGATATTAATTCTTCTTCAGTGTTCTTGTTCATTGTTCAGCCTTCATGTGGATATGAGGCTATAGCTTGGGTCAGCATTAGTTAAAAACTTTAGATTTAAATTACAGATATACCAGAAGCCAAATGTAAGTAATAGTTTAGGGGACATCTTTACTTTTGAACATTTTAAAATGGTCTTTTGAAGTCGATTTCTTCAATGCAGTACATTATTGCATTTTTTTTTTATTTTACTGCTGCTTCCATGTATGTTGATTATAGATCCAACCAAAATAAATCTTTGACAGCTTCAATGTTGTCACTGTTTATCTTTTTTTTTAAAGAAATTCTTTTTTATATTACTCATTTTTGTAGTGATTTGCATGTCATTTCATTCATATACATTTTGTTTTATATAATCATTTCTATACATTGTGTTTTACATAGTTAATGAGTACTGATCTGTTACTTTTATGTCCCCATCTCATTCAAGGCCCTCTTGGACCTTACCATCCACCATGAATCTCGGCTGTCCTAGTGATTTCCTCTTCCTTCATCTACAACCTCTCTGCCCTTTCGCTTTTAAGCAGTTATATATAATCTTGTTCCTGTTTACTAATTACAGTAGGCATATTATCTTTATCTCAGTTCTCCCCATGTTGATCCTCCCTTGTCTTGGTCCTTGTAGTGTTGTCTACCCATTACATTTCAGTTCTTCCCATCCCTCCCCATCCCTCAGTTACCCTCCTGTTGTCACAGTAGCAGTCTTATGCAGTACTTATCCTTGTGTGATTGAATTAATTCTCTCAACATAATACTCCCTAGATGCTCCCATGTGCCATACTTTGCAGATACTTTGTTGGTTTTTAGTGCTACATAGTATTCCATTGTGTGAATATACCACAGTTTTCTGTGCATTCAGTTATGATTGTACTCTGTTTATCTTCATATTGCTTATTCACCCAGTTGTGAGAAGTCTTTTTTGTTTATTTTGCTTTTTCCCCTACATGTTGTGATATAATTCATAATGAAGGCTGCTTTATATTTTATATTTAGAACTATTAATTCTGACTGAGATACTTTAGGAAATGTAGCAGAGTTTCACTTAAGTGAAGCCTATATGTATAGAAAATAGAAGCTCTAGTGGTCTACTAACAAGGAAGTGTGTTGCCAAACCATGGGCACCTGGTTCGAATCTACCAGCTGTTCCAAGGGAGAAAAATGGGCTATCTCCTCTTGTACAGTTAACTGTCTCTGAAAACCCACCAGAGGCTCAGCTGTGGATCAATTCCAACTCAGTGGCACACAACAACAACAACAACATATATGTTGAAATCTTCAACTAAGAGCCTTCAAATCATGATGCATTTTGTAAATCTTATCAATTTTAGGGTGATTATTGTGAAGCTTTATGTCCATAATTTAGGAGATTCAACACATTGATAACTTTGAAACATGTCTAATACTTCATATTTTGTAAAACACTTTAATGTCTGTATTTTATTTACTTTGCATAATAATTATGGGAGCTCTGGTGGCCTAGTGGTAAGGAGCTGCATTGCTATCCCAAAGGCAGGTTGTTCAAATCTAACATCTGCCCTGTGGAGGAGAGATGGGCAGTTCCCTCTGGTGTGATTTACAGCTTCTGAAAACTCACTGGAGAGTCAGCCGTGGGTCAGTTCAAACTCACTGGTACACAACAACAGTAATTATGAGTACTTAATTAAGTACATCAGCTGATCACTGAATAAACAAAATAAATACTAGACTAATAACAAAAAAAATCTAAGGACTGAAATTTAAGCTCTACTTTCAAGTGTTGGCAGAAAATGGAGCAGAAAAAATAACAAATAAATGAAACTAGGTATTTGCTTGGTTAGAAGAAAACATTGGTGTTGGGAGGAGTTTTGAGAGTAACAGAGATAATTCTTTCTCCAGTGCATGAATGAAAGAACTGAAGAACTCATATAGACCAAACTGTCTAGAATTGCACACCTCTATTAAGTGCAGGTTGAAACGAAAAGTAAATTCTTTATACTGATAAACAGAAGTATCTGCAGTACCTGTTGGCAGGTGAATCTTCCTTCATTCATTCAGCCTCTCGATGAAGTGTGTGTGTGTATGTATGTGTGAAAGTTCCTATGTGTACATTGGAATGAAACGCTTGTCTGCTCACTCCCTTTTTTCTCTTTCCAATAGGTCTTAATTACAAAAAGCTGACAGATGAAACCCTGAGTCCTTTGGAAGCTTTGGAGCCAGTTCTTTCAAGTCAAAATATCTTATCAATTTCCAAACTTGTTCCCAAGATCCCTGAAAAGGATGGGCGTATGCTTTCCCCAAGTTCTCTGTACACCATCTGGCTGCAGAAGTTGTTCTGGTCTGGAGACCCTCACCTCATTAAACAAATCCCTGAGTCCTTACCACAGTGGCTCCATGCCTATGATGTCTGCATGAAGTACTTTGATCGACTCTGCCCTGGTGACCTCATCACTGTAGTTGATGCAGTTACATTTTCTCCAGAAGCTGTGACCAAGGTAACCAGAAAGATAGCTTAAGTACATTGGCTTCTTTAGAACAAATGAAAATTGTTCTTTCGTTCTGTAGAATCTGTTTCTCATAGTCTTTCTTAAAATTAGAAATAATTTTACACTGGGTGATTTATTTTTTTGCCAAGTATAAATGTTGTAATTCTGAAATAATTTAAATTACTTATACATCCAAATCAGATGTTGCTTTTCTAACTCATACTTTTTTTTACCAGTCTTCCTAATAGTAAATACACTATCCTGTTCCTATTGAAGTTTTTAAAGAGAAAACCCAAGATGGTTTTAAATGAAAAACATATGATACATTTGTACAGAGCTTATCTGGAGTCTTATAATCCTGACGCTGAACTCTGAGTCTGCTACTTATCATCTCTGTGGGTTAGCCTGACTTCTGTAAGACTTCTTCCTCCTTAAACCAGTGGCAGTTCTGATTAAACTGTGATGTGGATATATTCATATCAGTTTTACAGATAAGGAAACTAAATGTTAGTGAAGTTAAGAAACTGACTCATTTGATAATAGAAAAGCCATGGTTGGAACTGAACCCAAAGCCTTTGCTCTTAACCACTGAATTGTACTGCCTCAGAGGAGTCAGTGGGTAGAGCAAGCAACTAGAGTCCAGGACTTGTAGTCCTTTTAGGGACTGTGGAAAGGAAAAGGACCTGAGAGCTCTGAGTACTTTGTTTCAGGTAAGGCAATGTGACATGAGAATGTATCGAGAACAGGGATGAGTCTAAATGAGAAAGGCCATGTAGGAGTCATTCTGATTTAGAATCTAAAAGGCAAATAGTTAAAAGTCCAAAGAATTACAGGTTTTCCTCATTATCCAAAAGTAAGAAGTGTAAACTGAATTATTGCAGAGTGCAGAAGCCATTGTCATTCATTTAAGTGGGAAATTTTTTTAACATTCCCTGGCCTAAAACATCCCCTACCAAATAACCAAATAGTATAGTGCACTGAAATAACACTAACATTGTATTCACACATTTCAAAGTGTGAACGTCATGCCTTTACACTGAGAGATGCTGTGTGTATAATTCCTATGGGAGAAGCTTGGCAGTGCCATTCTTTTTGAAACATTTTTTTTCCTTTTTTTTTTGTTTTGTTTTTCTTAAATTTTATTAATTTTAATGAACATTTACAGAGATTTTGGGTTTCCATTCATTCATTGTTGCACTATTTTCTCTACCCTCCTCCCCAGTTCGTTCTTCTT